ATCTATCCACCAAACTCAAATTGCCAACTATGTTTGAGTTTAATATCAATTTCAGTTCACTATGGGAAATGCATTTTTTCAAATTTGAGTAAAAACTCTAGCTTAAGTCAAAACTCAGACTTAAGTTTGTTTCGAAAATCGGGACCAGGCCCCGATTTCTCGAAACAAACTTAAGTCTGAGTTTTGACTTAAGTCCGAGTTTTACTCAAATTTGAGAAAACGCAGGAAAATGCATTTCCCAGTATAAACTGAAATCAATATTAAACTCAAACTTAGTAGACAATTTGAGTTTGGTGGATAGATTACTTTAAGTTGTTTGGGCTTTTTTATTTAAAAATGCAGTTGAGTTCAAAATGCAGCTGTTTCAAATTAATCAGAACTCAGTTTGAAATTTGAGTAAAACTTAAGTTTGTTTCGAGAAATCGGGGCCAGGTTATATACTAAAGTAGACCTATGTAGATTTTATAAACAGCTTAACTCGAGAAAATAAAAGTCTGGTTGTAAGGATTGTTTTTCACCAATATTAATGTCAGTAATTAAGAATATGACTTCTAAGATGCCTAGCGGTTAGAACAATCGAAAAAAATTACATTATCAGACAATAAAGATATAGTTTTGATGACGTAACAATTGAATGACGTTATCCCGTCACTGCGCCATTCTAGTGTGCCCCTCGTAATCGAACCATTTTTACATTACGTCACAATGTAAGCGACGTCACGATGCATGTCAGTTGTCATCGCCTCGTACGGCCTCCTACAGTAAACTACACCGTTACATCCAGTTTCTTGGTTTGCTGTTGCTTCACGCAGCTAACATCACTGGTGGAAACATTACGTTTATGTTTTACGACGGTTAAAATGTGTCATTTCGACTCACAAGTTTTCAGCGACACGGTAACGTTCGTAATGTTTACATTCCCACAATGCAATTGTGGAATGTCGCTTGACTACTCAACTTCCTCTGGATGTACTGATCTAAACTTAAGCTGGTAGCAGAAATGCAACGTCCATATTGCCCCATATGGTTTACGTTAATGACAGATGTAATTAAAATAATTCAGAGAAGATATTTAATCCGAACGTAAACCGTCATCAAGCTGTTATCATTTTGTATTTTTCTGGTAACGTTCGTCTTAACGTAGGGGCAGACACATCAATAGAACAGCGCCCAGTCAGCCCTGTGCGAGGATTCTTAATTTAGGTAACCGACACCGTCGTTTGTTTTCGGCCTTAAATTAATCGTAATTATCTTTAGAAAGCATTAAATTTGGCATCTTAGAAAGAAATACAGTTCGCCCTACCACCATATAGTGTAATAAAACACACTTTCGCCCTGAACTATTATAACATTAAAGCACTCGGACGCAAGCGTCCTCGTGCTTTAACTATAATAGTTCAGGGCAAAAAGTGTGTTTTATTACACTATACATGATGGTAGAGCGAAGTGTATTTCTTAAATAATACGTGCATACCTTTCGGGTAAACCGTGGACGAAGTTGTTTCCTTGGGTACTATCCACTGAGGCCAGCTGTAGACACAAATTGATACGTGCTAATAATAATTCTTCTTTTTTTGATACACCGAGGATTAATGTTATTGCCAGCAAGGTGTTCACCTGGAGAGTTTGTCAGTTGTGAGGTTATGACGCAAATAATATCATAAAATATAATATACAAATACACGTGTCATACTACGTGGTGTGTTGAGAACACATCATATTTGATAATTTGTAAGTCATGATGTTTTGTTTTTACTGTTTTGGTTTTTAAAAAGAATTTAAAATATCTTATTTTCATTTTGGCTGTACATCTCGCGAATGGATTGTAGGATCATTTTAAGTTAAAGAGAGGTAACTCTTTGTGCAAAACATTTGAAGCTCTCGTAAAGCACCCATTCGTTTACCATTTTGTTTTGTTCAATGTTAATTGTATTTTTTAAATTTCTACAATGAGCAGATTCATATAATATTTACATTATTTCTATGCATTTGTGGCGGTCTTGGTTGTTTTTTTTTACTTTATTTTCATCTACTTTGGGCTGGAAGCTGAATTTGTGGACAATGATGTCAATTTCGGAATCACAGATTTTGATAATGTGCAACTTCCGGATGTGTATTGTAATCAATAATCACATCAAGCAAATATTCATCGGACTAGAACGTGTTTGGTTGTTGTTTAACGTTACACTCAGCTACATCCCAGCTGTATGGCGACGGTTGGTAAAATACATCGGGTCTGGACCACACAGCATGAACAGCGCTCTACACAAATGTGCCAACCAAGGAAGCGAGCCTGACCACCAGATCCCGTGAGTCGCCAAGCATGGATTGCTGAAGATCAATTCTAACCCGGATCTTCACACGCGGGATAGAAATATGATTCGGTATTTCGCATATTCAACATTTAAAAACTAATCAACCTTTTTGTGACAGTACAATATATTTCCTTACGTTGAACCGTGAAGCGACTATCACCGAAACCATGACAGACAACAGGCAGGGCACACACAACCATCGACAGCCAACACAACAATGATGAAATCCAATACATGCAGTACACTCTCCATTGTCAATATTGATAAAGCAATACTTCATGATTGTGCACAGCGGGTATTTGACAGAAAAGAATCGATAACGAAATACAAACATGTTCAACATGTCCACAACCTAGATTGTTTGCAGTCAATTGAAATGTTCAGATTGTTACCGTGCATTCTATACGTATGAAGGTGAGGTGAGGTGAAATTGGGTTTAACGTCGTACTTGAGAATATTTCGCTCATATGACGACGTGCATGCGTGTGTATGTGTATGTGCGACTGCTTGTACTAGCCCAGACTGAAGCTGGTTTTATAGCGCTAGCCCACTGAGATACCATGCCGCAGTGAAGCATGAATACCCCACTCAGACACATTATACAGACTCCGAGCCGACCAGTCCTTGATATACCCATTAATGCCGAGCGCCAGGCAGGGACCAACAAGTACCATATTTCAACGTCTATTGGTATGACGCGGCCGGGGATCGAACCCGCTCTAGCCACTACACCGCGGAGGCGGTCTATACGTATGAAGGGCGGTGTGGGTTAGCCTAGTAGTTAAAGCGTTGACTTGCTAAACCGATTACACATGTTCGATTCCCCACATGATTACAATGTGAAAAGCTCCGTTTCTGGTGTCCCTCGCCGTGATATTGCTGGAATATTGCTAAAAGCCGTGTAAAACTAAAGTCACTCACTCACTACATGTATGGTGTTGTCACAACGTGAGACCCATGAACATCGATCCGGGTTAGAATTCATCTTCAGCAATCCCTGCTTCTCGTAAGAGGCGACGAACGGGATCAGGTGGATCAGGTGGTCAAGTTCACTGACACATGTCATCGTGTTTTATAGGATTGCGAATGTCGTAGCGCTACGAACGTTTTGAGGATCGGGGCCCTGACCATGCCAACATGGGTGTATGCTTTCTTCCAGTTGTCGTTTTATAAATATCTGACTCGGATAATAAAAAGTGTTCTTCTCTGGTGATCATACATCCAACTACAACCAAAAACGAGTAGGTCATTGTGACCATGCGATACACATTAGGTAGCTTCGACTCGTGTAGCTATATGCCAACAAATGGCACGGAGGACGGATACCGCGGAAATAGGTTCACACATTGCAACCACGTAGAGAATCGAACCTAGGGCTTTGGCATGATCAGCGAACGCTTTAACCACTCAGTTGCACCACGGGCCGCTTTCCTCAGAAACAACACATTCCACAATTAAATGTGTCAGTGAACTTAAAGTTGGACACTGACTGTAATAACATTCTGGCCCTGTCTTCGGTGTACTATAAGTCATGCAAACGAATAAACCAATGTCAGTGAACTTCCAAAAGTGTGTTACAATGACCTTGACCTAATTCTGACCTTGTTTGCTCGTTGAACAGACGTTACGAAAGACCTTCCCGCGTTAACATGCGTCACACGGTGGACAAAATGATACTGTTATTGCTTAATATGGACATCGCTATACGATCAGCTGCTCTGCCAGCGACGTCCTAAATAGAGTATAATATGCAATATATCGGGCGAAGTCCGCTGGTACCGTGTTCACACATTCAGTGTAACAGTGTAGTGAATTAAAGGAAGTAGTAGTGGAGAACGTTTCGCGGGCTTCTTAATTCCAGGACGGGCTTAGAACTCGATAGTTTCGATAGTTTCTGGAATTTCATCATTTCGAATTAACGTCACGTTTTTCTCTAGATCTTGTAACATCAAGGCTATGTATGGGGTCCGTCGTTTTACAGGCATTAAAGCCGCACGTCAGTGCAGATTGAGCCACCTTTGATTGGATGGTTCAGTGATGTTATGTCTTGTTACTTCCATTCAGTAATAAATACTGACCATGATTGTCAGTATTTCGTCGATGATCTTTGCTGAAAATGACCTCAGATATGTTCAAGCGGGTTACATTTGGTACATATGTAACGGGGTTGGTGTATATAGCTTCCTGTATTCAGAATAGAAACTGGTTAAGCTATTCATTTCTTGTTGGGTTTTGGGGGGATTGGTATTTTTGCCACATCATGGTCGGAGTGTACACACATGTACCTAATTGGGGCTTAATTATTATATTGTTTGAAAATATATAACGTTATGAGTGAGTGAGTTTTAGTTTTACACCGCTCTAAGCAATATTTCAGCAACGGGGGACACCAGAAATGGGCTTCACATATTGTACCCTTATGGGGATTCGAAACCTTTCAAGGAGACCATAGCATGCTGAAATATGGACATATCTAAATAATGAACATTGTATCCATTTTATCGTATTAGTAAAGTTGAATGTTATTGATTGTAAGTACATATAAAATGACTCGATACCCATTTTCCAACTGCTACACTAATTATAGTGCAAGCGTCTGCAGTGTGGGCCCTCTTGGGTACATAAATGCAAGATTCGAACCGGGAAACACAATGCATATCAAACATTGTCAGACCAAATAGCAACAAAGTTGTAATTGTTTAATGCAGATGTATGCAGTAACTGAAAATCACATTTGGACTTCGTTAATAATGTTTGGTAAATTGGCCACTAAAAATGAATTGAATTCTGGGTATTAGATGATGAAACGTGACAACGTTCGAATCTTAACCCTTGTGTTTGGAGATTGACTTGAACAAAAAATACATCTTTTTACATTTCGAGTGAAAGTTTATTATGCGTTTTTAAAAATGCATCAGTATATTATTATTTTATTATTTTGCTCCTAATTCTATTCAAATTTAAAAAATCTTAAAAAGACTCGTACTGTTGTCCTATCGCTGAACAGGAGAATGGGGACTCTGTCTCAATTCTTCTAAATAGCAAGTACACGCAACTGAAAACCGCTCCACTGCCCAAGTCAAACAGTTCCGTTGTGGATGACGTCGCAGCACCGTTCTGGGGACGTACACCGGCCTGCAGACGCCGCTCTGTGATGAGACGATAAAAACGTTTAGGATACAGACATTACCTATATCGTTTCTGCAATCCGTGGGGAATATCTACCGAAACTATTTGAACTAAGTGATAAAATTCACCAAGTGAATTTTTTCAATGCTTTTTGGGTGGTTTTCACCAAAGGATTTTAATCGTCACTTAGTTTGACGATGTCAGCCTAGATTCAGGATTATTGATAAACTGCATGCTGACTGCCAGGTATATATGAAGTAATATCATATGTAAAAACTAATATTTTAAGGCAAAATATAGAATGGGTAAGCGAGAAAATTTGGTTTAACGCTATTTCATGCACATGATATATCCCTAATAAATCATATACATATTATAACAATACCAACAGCTACAACAAGGTGTCATGTTACATTCTGATCTGTGATAAGGTACACAAGGAAATAAAGAAATTCACTCATTCATTCATTCATTCATTCATTCTACTCAGCTGTTGTTGCCATGTAAATCTATGTTACTCATTTGTAAGGTAAACATCTACTCAGGTGTTGTTGCCATGTAAATCTATGTTACTCATTTGTAAGGTAAACATCTACTCAGGTGTTGTTGCCGTGTAAATCTATGTTACTCATTTGTAAGGTAAACATCTACTCAACTGTTGTTGCTTGCCATGTTAAATCTATGTTAAGGTCCTGTCAATCTATGTTAAAACATCTACTCAGGTGTTGTTGCCGTGTAAATCTATGTTACTCATTTAAACTGAGAATCCGTTTAAAGCAAGTTTTGTAAGTAGATTACCGTTTTCCTGCATTCACTACAACTACACATAGCTTCAACAACCAAGCTAGGTTCCCTGTCCCTGTCGTGGTTGATGCGGTAGTACCAAGGGCAGACTCGACCCCCGGTATGACGTTGACAGGACCTCTCCCCGGTCAGGTAGGCATAGTGGGGATGTGCCCTAGTGATGGTGCTCCTCGACAGTTCGGGCACCAGGAACATGCTCTCCTCCAGGGGCACCTGCTGGTTGGGGCACAGTTGTTGGGGGCGACTCACAACGACAACTGCTACGGTGACTAGCCAAAGGCACACCTGCAAGAGAATGTAACTGTTTATACATAAATTACTGCTGTAGTATATGATGCTTAAAATACGAGTTTATAGATTATCAGCGATGTCATTATCATCCTAAACGTGTTTTATTTTAGTAGTAGTACTAATAGTATCAATACTTGAAGCAATGGTAGTAGGAGTAGACATAATAGCAGCAGTAGTAGTAGTAGTAGTAGTCGTAGAGGTACTAGTAGTAGTAGTAGCAACAGTAGTAAATAGTAGTGGTTGTGGTGGTAGTAGTAGTAGTAGTAGTAGTAGTAGTAGTAGTAGTAGTAGTAGTAGTAGTAGTAGTAGTAATGGTAGTAGGAGTGGACATAATAGCAGCAGCAGCAGTAGTAGTAGTAGTAGTATTCGTAGAGGTACTAGTAGTAGTAGCAACAGTAGTAAATAGTAGTGGTAGTGGTGGTAGTAGTAGTAGTAGTAGTAGTAGTGGTGGTGGTGGCGGTAGTAGTAATAGTAGCACCAGCAGCAGCAGTAGTAAGTAGTAGCAGTAGTCGTAGAGGTACTAGTAGTAGTAGTAGCAACAGTAGTAAATATACTAGGCACATAAAGAAACTGTGCATACAAAAATTTAAAATCTAAATTTATCAAACCTGTGTAGACACATAAGGATTTAAACTCAGAGATTAGTGACATGTATCCAACATGCATGCACATGCCACGTTCCGTGACGTCAGTGGGTTCGTCCTCGAGACGTGCAATACGTTGTTGCACGTGCATTCCGGGAAAGAGAAACAGAGTAAATGAATGCCACACAATACTGTCACTTTGGAAAGCTCAACCCCTGCCCTTGCGATCGTTCAAAAAATTAAACGGCTATTGAAACGCATAGCATGCCAAGGCTCACGTCTGCACAACGTCATGAGGCCATTGGGCTGGTCCGTGGGGGAATGTCTCAACGACAAGTGGCTGCACACTTCCACTGCCACCGGAACACCATTTCTGCACTGGTGAGACGCTACCAGAACACAAATGACAAAGTCATCGGTCGGCCACGTTCTGGACGTCCACGTGTAACAACGCCAAGACAGGACATATGGATAAGGGTGACCCATCTTCGCCACAGGTTTCAGACTGCAGTGATGACTGTCCGAACCATCCCAGGACTTCGCCGTATCCACCCCAACACAGTTCGACAACGTTTACGTCATCACGGGATCAGACCACGACGTCCCGCCATACGGCCTATCCTGACGCAACGTCATCGACAAGCTCGCCGAATGTGGTGCCGAAATCATGTCCGCAGACCCTTGTTTTGGTGGAGAAATGTTGTTTTTACAGATGAGTCCAGGTTTAGCATTTCCCATAGTGATGGACGTCAACGTGCCTATAGACGCGTGGGAGAACGTTATGCACAGGCCTGTGTCTTGGAGAGGAACCGCTTTGGTGGTGGTTCTTTGATGATTTGGGGTGGAATAACAGCACGCTCCTTTGGTGATTGTTCAGGGCAACTTAACTGGTGTGGGCTACAGGGATCAGATTCTTCGACCTGTGGCAATTTCTTTTCTGCAACGTCATGGCCCTGGGTTAACATTCCAACAGGATAATGCCCGCCCTCATACGGCACGGGTTGCTATGGATTTCTTGCAACACCACAACGTTGACTTACTGCCTTGGCCTGCAAATTCACCGGACCTCTCCCCGATACAGCATGTTTGGGACGAGATGGTTCGACGTCTACGCCGTCTTCCGCATCCGCCAGATAACGTCCTTGACCTTGCAGCAGAACTTGAGAGAATCTGGCGTGACATCCCACAAGCCTTCCTTGCACGTTTGATAGGCTCTATGCGTCGTCGATGCACTGCTGTTCTCAATGCCGTTGGTGGACATACCCGTTATTGAGCTTGTGACATGGTCGTTTGACCCTGTCCCGCTTGTGGACTCGTGACGTCATTGTGATTGACTTTTCAATTGAAATTCTCCCGACTTGTTATGGTCTCATGATCCCTCCATTAAAGTTTATATGTACCTTTGACAGTGTAGTAGTGTAGTAGTAGTGGTGGTGGTGGTGGTGGTGGTAGTAGTAGCAGCAGTAGTAAGTAGTAGCAGTAGTAGTGAGTGAATGAATGAATTTTACGTCGCCTCGGCATTATTTCAGCCATATAGAGTTCACACACATGATATTGAAAATTGAAGAACGGTGGATTAGTCTCTAACCTCTGAATGTTGTGGGAAAACAATTTTAACCTAAACAGCCCGTACGTCATGCCACGGCTTACAGAAAATCAGCATCTCCGCGCCGTGGGTATGCTGGAGACTGAAATGGCCCAAAATGAAGTGGCTAAACATTTTGGTGTCCATCGAAACACGATCTCATCTCTATGGAGAAGTTTTCAACATAATGGGAACACGAGAGATTTGCCTCGGACCGGACGTCCACTCGTGACGTCACGTCAGCAAGACAACATATGGCTGACCCATCTAAGGAATCGATTCCAGGCTGGCAGTTTGACCGCTGGGACCATTCCTGGCTGACCGCCAATAAGTTCCACGACTATACAGAACCGACTGAGGGAGGACAACATCCAGTCCCGATGGCCTGCAATACGTCCAATTTTGCTCAAACTTCACCGACAGATACGTCTTGCCTGGTGCAGACAGCATCTACAGTACAGGAGACAAAATTGGGATGGTGTTTCGTTCACTGACGAGTCAAGATTTCATATGGCCAGCTCAGATGGCAGGGCAAGGGTGAACGGTATGAACGTCGACAGTTTGGTGGGGACAGCGTTATGGTATGGGGGAAATCAAATCTCATGGTTGGACACAACTTGTCATTGGCAGTGGCAATCAGACAGGTCTGCGGTACAGGGATGAGATCACTGGGACACTGATTCATTCAAGGACAGAGACGTAACTTCACGATTCAGCAAGATAATGCCCGTCCACATGTCGCTCGTGTTGGGACAGATTTCGTGATACAGCAGCACATTCCGGTTTCCCCCTGCCAAGCTGTTTCTCCTGTCCTGTCTCCTATCGAGCACGCTTGGGATTAAAAGGAACGTCTAGCCCAAAATCAGCCATTGACGTCAGCTGAATTGGAGGTGACAGGCCAGGAAAGCCACATTTCAAAACTGACTATTGCCGGGAAGGCCACATTTCAATTACATGGCTGTAGCCGGTAAAGCCACATTTCCAATAGATTAATTAATTAATGGATTACCGTAACCGGTAAAAGAGTGACCCCATGTATAATATTATTTTCACAAGAAACGAATAATCTTTCTTACTCACAAGCGTGGTGTTTAGCAATACCGGTAAAAGACTACCCCTATTTATGATTCGAAACCACATTGTATAATATTGTTTTCACAAGAAACTAAGAATCTTTCCTACTCACAAGCGCGGTGATTAGCTTCTTTATTCAGAGTTTATTACTCAAAATGGAACCACCTCCGGTGGTACATCAGTACATAAAATGGAATGCAGAATATACATAGTATGCAAGAACGTGACAGGGAATATACGCAATGATTACTGAAAACTAGAACATATACATTTGATCAATTTAGATAAGTGTTTGATTGTTGAAATTTTAGTACTTGACATCAATTTTTTTTTCTATATGTAGAGAGATTAGGGAAGGAACAAGAGCTATCTTCTAGGGGAGAGATGCGTTGTTGGCTAAAATATGAACATCTAAAGATATAATGGAATTCATACCCAGTTAACTGCGAGTTACAAAGGTTACATACTCTTTCTTTTCATGCGAGATTCGTCCATCTCCCACCGGAAAAAGACTGTCCCTAGCTTAAGATTAATCTAACTGATTAATCTAACAATAACCTAAAAGGATGGCACAATAAGGTAAAGAGACTTGTCCAGAAGTGCCACCCTAACATTTACGAGATAGTAAAGCTATTTCAGCGTGAGCAGTCTCTGACAGAGGTTGCTGTCCTGAGACTTTCTGACCAGTGGACAGCACCTTCATGAAGAAAGAAATACAGAACCATTGACGCTCGTAATAAAATTATGAGGAAACATGTCTTGTTTTGTTCAATACGGTAACGCGTTTGAATCACTAAGCATGTTTGACAGCATAGCCGGGAGAGCCACATGCCATGTTCATGCAACCGTAACTATTCAGGGACGGATACAGCTTTTGAGAAAGGGGTGGGTGGGGGCGGGGGTGCACACTATTGAGAAAAGGAGGGGTGCACACTTCATTTTTACCCGAGTTTCAATGGTCATTTAAGATACTTTTAGCACAAAGGGGGGGGGGGGGTGCGCATCCCTGCACCCCACCTCTGGATCCGCCTATGCTATTAGCCACATTAACTAGAGCCACATCAATTTAGGCTATCTGTTTCGGAAATGTGGCTCTCCCGGTCTGTAACCGAATTGGAGGTGGAGTCTTTTAATGCCAACAGGAAATAATGCCTACAGTCTTAAATAAACAATGTGACGCACCAGTGGTTACAAATTGTACACACTGCCTCTACCCTTTCACTAAAGTGGTGGTAGGTCCCACTTCATTGTGCACTAATGCCTACAGTGAATACAAAACACAGACTTTTAAATGACATTTTATAAGATTTAATCATATCATCATTTTCATTTCTTCACACAAAATTACATTGCATTACATATTATTGAATTATTAATTGAGATTACATTACATTATAAATCATATCATTGAATTATTAATTGAAATGACATTACATTGCATTCTAAATCATATATTACATCATTAATCAACATGAATTATTTACAGATGTACAAATATACAAACATACAAATATACAAATATACATTTCTGCTGACAACTGAAGTCATTCAAGCTGTTTGAGTCATTTACGCCAACTTAATCAGATGTCCAGTAGCTGAGGGGAATCCTGCTGGTAGGCTTCGCTGAAGCCGTGAGTCTGAATCTCCCTCCAGAGAGCCTGTGTGTAGTGGAAGTAGCAGCCACGGATGTCACGGTTGGCGAAGGTGTCTGGATGACATCAGGCTGAAGGGGGGATCCAGTTGTCTGTTGTACCTTGTCGCTCAGGAGACGTAGCAGACGTTCGTAGGTGCGGCGTTGGTGGTTGGGCAGCAGACTGAGTAGAACGTGCCGTCCATGTAGAGGGTGTCGACTTCTTGTAGGAGGGTCAGGCGGTCAGTTGTAGAGAAGCAGATGATCTTGTCGTCGTCTCCGTCGTCTATGCAAAGAAAGGGCAGTCCATCAGAAGTTTCCTTGAAAGCAGTCTGGTAGATTCACCTCAATGAGCGTCTGGGGAAGTGGCGGCATCGTCTTTCGTCACTGCTTGTAGAGTCCACTCTTCACTGAATAGAAGGACTTGACTGTCGCTGCTTCATCTCGGTCCAGTCTTGAAATCTCCTCGTCGCAGAGTAGTATCTGTTGTCCTCCTTTCTGTGATGTGAAGTACTTGACTTTCTTTGGGTTTGCCATGGTTAGCAAAGAAGACTTTGGTTACAAGCATTTTAAAGCAATACATTTTCTTCTCAATAAGAAAAATCTCTCTCAATAAATTAAACATTTCCTTCTCGCTTTGTTTTATCCCTCAATATGTTTTTCTATCCTTCAACCGTGTGAGATGAAGCATAGCCTCTGCTAATTGCTCATTGCCCTCTACTCCCCTAATCCCATTGTAGGCATTAGTGCACACTAACCGGTACAGTCCACCTGTGTGCAGGTAAGCGTATCGCTGTCACAGCAAACATTGTAGCTATTATTCCCTGTAGGCTCTGACAGTGTGTCATCCTTTGATAGAATTGAAAAGAAGACATGGAATGCATGGAACGCTCTTCCTGAACTTACAGGCACTTTTATTTCCCTCGCTTGTCCACCACTTGAAATCACTAATGCACAGATTCATCAGCTTGAGAGATTTGTTGTGCTGCTGTATGACAGAGCAAGCAACCTCATGAAAGTGAATGAAGCAAGAAAGCATTTGTCCGCCACGAAGGGGAGAACACTGGACAATATTCCCCCAACAGAATCAGCTCTGATCCAACATAACTTTGGACTACTCTCCTGAAGGCATGAAAGAGCTGCCAGGAATTGCTGAAATGCATGTGTAAAAAACATTCTAGATGCATAATTTATGGGGCGTTAAAATTGGGTTAGAATAACCTCTTTTGGAAAATTCATTTGTTTCCCACATTCCCTTTCCTCTCTCTCTCTCTCTCCCAAAAAAAAGGCCCAAATCTGCGAGGCTTTTCGTATTGAATTTGCAAAGAAATGATAAAAACATGTTAGGTCATGGGATGATCTGATACTTATTTTACTGATGTAGTCTATATGGTGGCCATTTTCGGGTAGTCATGATATAAACTGACTTCCGTAGGCCTAACCGTTAAAGATAAAAGGCATATATAGGTGGAAAATGATCAGATGTGAATTTCCTACAATTTGATATATGACTTATGAGAATTTGACAATTTTAAAAGAAGTTTTGATGAAAATAGTAGAAAATATGATTTTTTTTCACTTCAAAATTATGAAAAATATAAAAAATCTGCGAGGTCTCTCGATCTTTATTTAATAAGAAGGGTATAAGCTACAATCATGCCAAATTTCATGCTTGTAACACAAAGTGCACAATTCAGTGAAAGAACTGCACTTATCCGCTGGGCTACTCGGACATCCTGTCAGTCGAAGAACTGTATCGAGGACTACGACGAGAACATGGTGTTCCTGTCTCTGTAATCTACGGATGGCCATTGTAATCTACGGATGGCCATTGTAATCTACGGATGGCCATTGTAATCTACGGATGGTAATGGCATCAGACCTCGACGTCAAAGACTGAGGTGGGCACGTACCGTCAGCCAGGGACACAATTAACAATTGAGTACAACATGACGGGAAGATCCCGTTGAGTATAATATGACGGGAAGATCCAGTTGAGTATAACATGCCAGAAAGATCCAGTTCAGTATAATATGACGGGGAGATACAGTTGAGTATAAAATGACGAGAAGATCCACTTGAGTATAAAATGACGAGAAGATCCAGTTGAGTACAACATGACTGGAAGATCCAGTTGAGTACAACATGACTGGAAGATCCAGTTGAGTTTAACATGACGGGATGATCCAGTTGAGTATAATATGACGGAAAGATCCAGTTGAGTATAATATGACGGGATGATCCACTTGTGTACAAAATGACGGGAAGATCCAGTTGAGTACAACATGACGGGAAGATCCAGTTGAGTATAATATGACGGGAAGATCCAGTTGAGTACAACATGACGGGAACATCCAGTTGAGTACAACATGACTGGAAGATCCACTTGAGTATAAAATGACGAGAAGATCCACTTGAGTACAACATGACGGGAACATCCAGTTGAGTTTAACATGACGGGATGATCCACTTGAGTACAACATGACGGGAACATCCAGTTGAGTATAATATGACGGGAACATCCAGTTGAGTATAATATGACGGGAAGATCCAGTTGAGTTTAACATGACGTGATGATCCACTTGTGTACAAAATGACTGGAAGATCCAGTTGAGTACAACATGACGGGAAGATCCAGTTGAGTATAATATGACGGGAAGATCCAGTTGAGTACAACATGACGGGAACATCCAGTTGAGTACAACATGACTGGAAGATCCACTTGAGTATAAAATGACGAGAAGATCCACTTGAGTACAACATGACGGGAACATCCAGTTGAGTTTAACATGACGGGATGATCCACTTGAGTACAACATGACGGGAACATCCAGTTGAGTATAATATGACGGGAACATCCAGTTGAGTATAATATGACGGGAACATCCAGTTGAGTATAATATGACGGGAAGATCCAGTTGAGTTTAACATGACGTGATGATCCACTTGTGTACAAAATGACTGGAAGATCCAGTTGAGTACAACATGACGGGAAGATCCAGTTGAGTATAATATGACGGGAGGATCCAGTTGAGTACAACATGACGGGAACATCCAGTTGAGTATAACATGACTGGAAGATCCAGTTGAGTACAACATGACGGGAAGATCCAGTTGAGTATAATATGACGAGATGATTCACTTGAGTACAACATGACGGAAAGATCCAATGTATTCAGGTGATTGTGCTATTCGACGGTGACAACGTCATGGTTTGGGGCGGTATCTGTGGACAGCAGAATATGGATTCTGTAGTTTTCAACCCAATCCCATCACACGTCACGTGGAGGAGGTATTTCGTACCTGCAACAAAACTCTCGAAGCAGATTCCAACAGGACAACACTTGATCACACTCGAATCGCCATGAATTTTCTCATCGTCAACAAAGGTAACGTTTTCTCACCGGACACATCTTCAGTTGAATACATGGGGATTATCGAGGACCTCGAGTTGGAAGCAGACAAGTCCCTGTGATAACTGGACAAGGCATATTGCAAGCACAAGAAGAAGAACAGCGCCGTATTCCATCTCCATGTCGACCACAAGAGAGTGTATTGATGTCGGTTGTATGCACACACAGTGCTTCCAAACCCTGTGACTAGCATGTCCTTATGACTGACCTTTAACCTGTACTAATTGCATTGGTCAGTCACCCGGGACAACGAGAGGAACCTGGGGTCAAAATACAAATATACACTTCATTTTGTCAGCTTATCATAGAATAAGTGCTTATTCTAAAGCCATAAATTGTACTTGGAAATTGCAGCTATCATTTCTCCATGATCGTCATACCTTGCTTTGCATAGTTTCTCTTTGCATTATTACCTTTGGAAAAAGGACAACAAATTCATCGTTAGGATCCACACACACGCACACACAGAGTGACAGAGAGAGAGAGAGAGAGAGAGAGAGGAGAGTGTGTGTGTGTGTGTGTGTGTGTGTGTGTGTGTGTTGTGTGTTTTCGTGTGTGTGTGTGTGTGTGTGTGTGTTCGTGTGATCGTGTTTACCTTATGGCATGACAACCATGTATCATGACAAGTATCGCAATAAAACTGTTATACTTGATTGCCTGTTTTATGGGCAATATATTTCCACATTTGTGTGTGAGTGTGTGTGTGTAGGTATGAGTACGTGTTTGTTTGTGTTTAGCATACCACGTGGCACAATGTATTATTCTTAAATTTCCATATTTCCACAACAACAGGGTCGGAAGGTTAAAAACTTCACAACTTACCGTCAGCATTATTGCAGGAGTGTGCATACAAGGGCGACCGCTGACGACTACAGTGATTCGTGATGTTCTGTCGTCATTCAGAGTGGGTTTTTACATCTTCAATCGATACGAGGAAAACGTCCCGATACAGGACATCACGCAATGGGGTCAGCTGCACCAAAACGTTCCTGTCGTTAATTGCGCTCGCGTGACCTGCTTACGAATGTCTGTCAAGTGGGAACTTCCACAAACGAAAAATGGGTTAATAAACCGTACAGTTGTGTATATGTTAGTACCGTTAAACAAACCCACAAGACTACCCCAATTTTTATTTGATTTTAAAGTTCCACAGTAGAAACTTTTTTTTAAATATCGTTTCGTGCATTATGTACATTGGAAAAGATTTTACTCAAAATCATTTAAGACCTAGAGTCAGTATAGGTATGGACAGTTCGTTCGAGTTACGTCAGAGGGAAGAACAAGGACAGGTCGTAACGCAGCTACATCATGGCGTTCGAAATGGATCGTTTCACTACTGTATTCTGTCCAGTTTTAGCTAACATACATTTAGTATTACGATATTTTGGCACAGTGTACATATCATAAAAGTGTCTCTATAATTTATTGATAGTCAAATATGCAATCAGTTAGAATTTTACCTTAATTTCACGTCAGGAAACAAATTTCTCCTTAAAGATTACGTGTGATCTGATAAAAGATAAAATCCCGGAGAAAATCAGTTTTGAATGATAATAATAATGCATCTATCTTGGCTGTACCACATCCTATAATCAGTGGATAATGTCACACTGAATACACGTGGTTACATCTGTGTAACATTATGTCACACTTTACTGGGTTGAATACACATGACGTCGTTACATCTGTGTGTAACATCATGTCACACTTTACTGGGTTGAATATACATGACATCGTTACATCTGTCTGTAACATTATGTCACACTTTACTGGGTTGAATACACATAACGTCGTTACATCTGTGTGCAACATACATCATGTCATGAACTTCATGTCATACCATCATGTGTTCTGTATATCCGTCACATCTACTTCATGTCATACCATCATATGTTCTGTATATTCGCCATGTTCACTTCATGTCATACCATCATGTGTTCTGTATATTCGTCACATCTACTTCATGTCATACCATCATGTGTTCTGTATATTCGTCACATCTACTTCATGTCATACCATCATATGTTCTGTATATTCGCCATGTCCACTTCATGTCATACCATCACGTGTTCTGTATATTCGCCATGTCCACTTCATGTCATACCATCACGTGTTCTGTATATTCGTCAAATCTACTTCATGTCATACCATCATGTGTTATGGATATTCGTCACATCTACTTCATGTCATACCATCACGTGTTCTGTAATTTCGCCATGTGTTCTGTATATTCGTCACATCTACTTCATGTCATACCATCACGTGTTCTGTATATTCGTCATCTACTTCATGTCACGTGTTCTGTATATTCGCCATCACATCTACTTCATGTCATACCATCACGTGTTCTGTCATACCATCACGTGTTCTGTATATTCGTCACATCCACTTCATGTCATACCATCATGTGTTCTGTATATTCGTCACATCAACTTCATGTCATATCATCATGTGTTCTGTATATTCGTCGTGTCCACTTCATGTCACAACATCATGTGTTCTGTATATTTGTCATGTATTCACTTGTCCTGTCACTTCATGTCATACTATCACCTGATGAGGCGTCGGGTGGCCCCTCCTTGGCCTCCTAGAAACTTCCTGGGTTCGATTCCAGCTTCCCCTGAATATATTGTCTGGTTTGTCAATTTCATACCAGGTCTCGTTGGTTTCATCTAATGGCACGACTTCATCGGACCTACATCAATTGTTTCCACACGAAGCTGTCACACCGTGACATAACGTAAACACTATTAACAGCAGCGTCAAACCAAACTCACTCACTCACTCAAGTGTGAGTGAGTGAGTGAGTTTATGTTTGCGCCGCACTCAGAAATATGTGGCGGTGATCAACAGCATGAGCATCGATCTACGCAATTGGGTCTTTTCGAACTTGAGTTGATTAGTTGGGTGTGGGGGTGTGTGGTCCTGTAAAGGTCAGGTCACAAATCATTTCTGTCATGCAAAACCTAAACAGCCATGCTGTATGACTTTATCCTGGTATACACGTGTGTGGCCATTGGTATACTATGGCTGAAATGTTGCCGATGCTACCTTGTATTGTGACAATATATAAATATAAACTGACAATAGGATACCATTACAGAACACTTGTAAAAGCGATCGCCAAACTCTATCTGTCATTACAATGCTTATAGTGCAGGTAAATGGAACTATTTCAGCTACTGGGACAATGATCGCAACACATAAAGGAACAGTAAATGCATCATTACGCTTGGTCATTCCCTTGAATATCTTAGCGTGCCCACACATGAAATACTTCAATGTTATCAGAAGGAAACTGATAGCATGTCACGCAGGACAATGGCGACCGACCGATAGCGGTTTAACATCTGTAGGTCACACCACGAAAACAGGCAGACAGATTAAAGATGCGGATGGAAGGATGGATGGATGGCTGGGTGGGTGTGTGGATGGATGGATGGATGGATGGAAGTTGGGTGAATGGATTGATGGACTGATGGTTGGGTGGGTGGATGAATGGATGGACGGATGGACGGATGGATGGATGAATGGATGAACGGCAGAAAGGACAAACGAATGAATAAATTGTCTAAGCAGTCTTGCACTAACATCACACTGGGGGCACAGCAGCAATGGGCTTCAACATATTTTCTATACGTGGATTCGAACCCAAGTCTTAGGCGTCACAAGCGAAAGCTTTAACCTCTGGGCTACCTCACAGCCCCAGCAGTCTTTCTTTCAATTTTAGGTCTGGGTGATGTTTACATCAGGATGTTTGAAGGTCAATACAATAATCACGTTCTTTGAAAACAATTTATGCGTTATAGTGTTTATGCCTGTAATAACTCCGCACGACAACATATTTGTTCCTTGTCTATAATTTCTTAAACAATTAAAGGCGAGATCAACTTATTTCCTGTTTCATTATCAGCTGGTGTCATCAAATATGACCATGTGTTGTGCATCGCCAGTCAACCTCTACACGTCAATTAAAGTATGACTCTGTTTTTATAGCTTTATGGTGTTGGCATGTCTCGCCAGCCCATGCTTTACCTCTGATATAGCAAAAAACACAACCTGGACCTTTTGAAATGTATTCCACCATTGACCATATATTTGCATAATGATTGCAAACTATGATAAACAAATAATTTTACTTTTACTTTTATTTGATAAGTATTATTCTCTCTTTATTGACCTTTCCGAAGTTTGTGACTGCATAAATCACGGTCTATTGTCCAAAAGCTCCCCAAACATCGGTGGTTACAGTAAGTTGTTCACGTTTTTAGGTGCATGTATTCATTGAGTGATAGTATGAGAATTGATTCTGGTTTATCACAACACTTCAAGTGTAATATTGGCACCCGTCAAGGGTGTATCCTGAGCCCTAACATCTTCATCAGTTACATCAAGCAGACTGCGACAGTGTTCAAAGAGCGAGATGGGAGCTGTTAGATCTCCTCGAACGACGCATGTGTTTTCATTGTTACTTGCTGGTGATGTGTCATCTGTATCTACATTGCTCTACAGCTTCTAAAAGGTTGGTTTAAGTTTGTACGCACGCACGCACGCACGCACGCACACACACACACACACACACTAGTACTGATAATTGTCAGGGCCACCAACTCTCCAGGCTATTAATCCACCTAGCTTCTCTTTGTCTCTCATCATCAGCAATCTGTGCTGATTACACTATATCATTATTCAGTTCTTATTACCTCGCTAAGTGACCGCCTTCGCTATCTAATTCTCACATGTACATTGTATAAGCTTTCTAAACCCTAGCTTTCATTCGCCTGATGATGGAGTATGAATATACACCGGGTGGTTTTGTTTCTTCCCAAAAAAGAAGTCGTCATCCAGTAATTCTCTCTTTATGTGAATCACTTCCAAATGTCATTCAAGGAATTGTAACATAAATTTATTCAAAATTTCACAGCAGTAGAAGTAAAATTATTTAAATAGCACAAAACTGATGAAAACCCTTTAGAATCAAGTGACATTGATACTTCCAATAATATTAGGTTTAAAAATGTGTAAGAATTAGTGTCCGAATTTATATTTTTTTCCATTTTAACAAAAGAATAGAACTTGTGTCATTTTGCCAGCTTCCGAGACTTTAGGACCGCCTCTTTCAATATTGGCATCACCCGCTCGCTGTTTCATCCGAGCGCAGTTGTTTTGTCTCGGTTAAAATCTTTACTAAATATGGAAACCATTCTAACATTTTCCCTTACTAGCCGAAATTCGTCACCATGCTCCAGTGCTGTTGAATGTATCCGCCATGAACAGACTCTATATACAGAGAGCCTTTGTGTATTCTGCCATGTTGGTGACCTTGATTATGTCCAAGATAAACTTAATGTAGTATTGATGTATGACGGCTATTCTAACCCGGAAAGACAGAGTTTCTCCAATAATCTCACCAATCCAACAAAAAGCCTTTGTATGACGTATTTCAACCAACAATATCCATTTCATATGATCTTTAATTAAACATCGTTCTGAAGATTAGAAGCAATCACACAAAATGTACAATGTTCATTCAGCATTAATATTTTGTTCATTTTTATTCAAATACGTTTGGGCCAATGGCCCTAAGTACTGAACAATTTATGTAAAATATAAAAATATAAATTTATGTAAAATATAAAGTAAACTTTCTATCTATCTAAATGAAATATCAGCGTTTACAAATATTCCAGCTATATGGCGGCAATCTCTAAAAAATCGAGTCCGGGCCAGGCAATCAAATGATCAACACCATGAGCATCGATTTACACAACTGAGATACGTTGACATGTGTTAACCAAGTAAGCGAGCCTGACCATCCAATCCCGTTAAGTGTTGAACACCAATTCTAACCCGGATCTTCACGGGTGCAATGGTACACCGGAAACCTATAATTGTGGGTCCGGCTCCCAGTCACCAACGGTGACATACTTTACTTATGCTCGTGGATTTTATCCATCATATAGCTGATGGCACTCCGTGATAATGGGAATACTGTTCCTTGTGGCGTTAACCATCCCACACTTGCTCAATACCAAACCGTTGCAATCCCGTTGTACCACAGGCCCTCGTATCTTTGCGAGGATAAATTATTAAAAATAATATTGTTTTTGAGATGACCCCCGACTCGAAATGCTTCACAGTACAATACATCATGACAAGGCCGGACACTTCGGTGCACCCTACCCACTACGCTAATCGCATGCAATCGATTAAAACCTAATGTAGACATAATCATGGACGATTGGCCTATCGAGCACCACTCATGACACCTACCAATTCTTTATTGTTATTTCTGCAAGTCGATTGAAACCCGATTTTGACTCTCAACTAAACGATCTTGACACAAATGGCTGACGATATCCGCACAAAGTGGGGGTGTGGTCGAAGCAAGCCCTCTGGTTGGTTGATGTTTGTTAAGGGGACATTTACAAATGATGCTTTCTTTTGAGAAGCCCTTGCTGGAAAAAAATCTTACATTTCTTCCAGGTCAAGCAGTCGATGAAAGTAAAAATTCCCGAGAATTTATAAAGAATGTGCAGATTTAGCAGCGTTGACGAACCAGAGGGCTTGCTTCGACCACACCCCCGTGTCCACATTAAGTTTTAATCGATTGCATGCGATTGTAGCGTAGCGATCGGCAAAGCAAGCGGGTGGGGTATACCGAAGTGTCCGGCCTTGTTATTATGTATTATACTGTGATGCGTGTCGAGTCGGGGTTCATCTCAATTTTTTAAAATATATTTTATAAAATCTTTAATCCTCGCAAAGACACGTGGGCCTGTGCGTTGTACACGTTGTAACAGTTATGTCAACTTGTACACATAACAACATGACAGTTTCAATAACAACCTCTTTTAGTGATGGGTATCAAAATAACAAACAACAGATAGTTTTAGTACAGGGTATTCATTGCCACGTACCGTTATGAGATTTAAAAAAGTATTTACGATTGTGATTTACTTTGCAATACATCGTTCTGATTTGGCGGCATACCGGCTGCAGATTTAGCCCGTACACAGATTTAGCATCGCATATAGTATGTTACATTAGCTGAAGCTTATACACCGTCCAGCAAACGTACTACATTGTACTACTGCTCCATGTTAATGCTTAAGTTGTTAACAAATATTACAAATAAATGCTAGAACAGTCTAGATCTGGTGTTCTTCAGAAGAACAAATTTCTAAATAGAAATGCCTCCTGTAGAAATGTCCTCCGTTCAATATACGTTTGGCTATATCTCACAAAACTGACACCCTGCAGCGACAGGAAACAAATACGCGAATCTCACTGAAAGCGTTAGGTATCGCAAGTCTTCAATGAAAAGACTGGGTACCTTCTCTTAGAGCTTTGTGGATTATTGCAAACAGTGTTTGGATTTGGCTGCCGCAACAGTGTAATATTATTGCAAGAGAACGTAGTTTTATCTCGATAGTATTCTTGACTGATATCCCCTTTATTCGAGACTGTATATTTTCGAGAACACGTACACGATTATTCATGTTCAGGCTATGGAGTCACGTTATCGCTGATCTTTGGTCCTTGGCTAGCAAAATCGTGAGATGGCTTGCTACTTTTATGTTAGTAAGAAACGGTACGCACACATATATATGAACTGCGTGGTTTAGTTTACATATCAGCACAAAAACCGCTTGCATTCCATACGCCCCACGTGCTCCCAACAGCTTGTTTTTCATGTATTCTGTGACCTGTAGGTTTTTCAGTTTCTAGATTCGACCGCCTTCATAGTTCAGTGGATAAAGCGTCTTCCCATAGAGTGGCATGCCGTTGGTTTTATCCTTGACCGTTTCCCGCCACACGGCGTTAGGAGATGGTGAGGTACTTGATGTTAACCCGCCTTTTGTTCGGCATGGGTTAAACAATGGATCAGGGTCAGTTCCTGTGTATGAGTGAGGTATCCGTCATAAACTGTGGCGTGGTATATCTCGTTGGGCTAGCACTATAACGTCTGGTCCGACACAGGAAGCCAGACCCACCCGTGCATGCTATGAGAGTTAAATAGGATTGAACGCGACCTTAAACCTCACCCCAAAAGACCTCACCTCACCACACCTCACCTTACCCAACCTACCTCACCTAACCTCACCTTACCCAACCTACCTCACCCCCAAACACCATCACCTCACCTTACCCAACCTACCTCACCTAACCTCACCCCAACCTACCTCACCTAACCTCACCTTACCCAACCTACCTCAGCCCCAAACACCATCACCTCACCTTACCCAACCTACCTCAGCCCCAAACACCATCACCTCACCTTACCCAACCTACCTCACCTAACCTCACCTTACCCAACCTACCTCACCCCCAAACACCATCACCTCACCTCACCTTACCCAACCTACCTCACCCAACCTCACCTCACCATACCGCAGACATTAACTATTCATGCCGGTCTGCTTCCATTTTCACTCAAGAAAAGGGTACTTCAGCATTATTTTCTGTCGGTAAGAACTTGGTCGCGTGTCCTTAATGCCAGCCTCGAGGTGATACTGGAGGAGCTCTGTTAATGAGTACCCATCCTTCTGGTCCCGATCCACGAAGAACTTGGTGCCACTGTAACTTGACCTCTTCTTAATGGTGAAGGTCATGAATGTAGAGTTATACCTATGGAAGAAAACAGATGAACAGTGAATGGGGTTCACCCACCACGACCTGAATAGGATAAGGAAGACAGTGATGTGACGCCTGATCTTCTGAGTGACACGCTCTATATATTGAGCTGTTTTCAACATGGCGCTAAGCTCTTAACGGATGCCTAAAGTTGGTTGGTTTGTTGTCTGGACCAGACAATCCAGTGATCAAAAGTATGAGCATCGATCTACGCAATTGGGATACGAGGACATACATCATCCAAGTCAGCGAGCCTGACCACCCGATCCCGTTAGTGGCCCCAAGGATGGGTTACGGAAGACCAATTCTAACCCGGATCTTCACCGGTCTGATACCTTAAGACTGAGCTAAACGTTTCAATAGTGAAACCTATTATCCGCCGATCAAGGAAGGTTACGAGATGACTGAACTGTCGGATGTCGGATGTGGGAAATGACAGTTTCACGAAGGATGTAATATAGATACAATCCCTTGAAGTTTAAGACTCATCAGTCAGAGAAGTAATAAGTTACGGGTTGACTTTATGCCGAGAAAACGTCATGCAATATTCCGCCGTGGACCATGTTTTCGGCAAATAATATGATTTTATATTACTTGGTTTCCGGACTATGTGGATTAGGAAATTAAATTTAATGATTTATTTCTGTTTCGGCAAAGACTAAAGTTTTGAAAATAAATTGAACCATTTTTTTTAACGCTGAAGTTCGTATTGTGTAAAATATAATGAAACAGGTAAATATTGTAGAGAAAAATGAACGGGAAAAGTAATAGAAGGATTGTAACAGAGCGAGTGTGTTTGCACTTAACAAGTTCAACTGAAAACAATTAACGCCAGACAGTATGACAACAGACTGTTAGATATTGTTAGTTAGATATTGTTTAACGCCGGACGCCGCTTTATGCCAGCTATTTGACGTCGGTCTGTAACTAAACAAGTCTGAACCAGACAATCCAGTGATTGACACCATGAGCATCGATCTACGCAATTGGGATACGATGACATGTGTCCCTCTTACGACAAGCGAAGAGATAACCATTATTTTGAATTTTTCTTTGCTGATTTCCCTGGGGAAAATGGTTAAGCCAGGGAGCGCAAACGGCGACAATGTTCTTCAAACCCCTTTAGTACATGTATAAGACAAAATGTTATGGATGTCAACTTCTTCTTTATGTGTATACAATAAAGAAGAAGTTAACATCCATAACATTGAATACTTGAATACCAACTTCTATATGCCTCTCAAGAACCCATTTAGTACAGCTACGATGTGTGTCTTTCAGCGGGTTGTAGCACGGAAGGGAGGCAACTCTTTACAGCCCACTGTCCATTTGTCCATTATATTTATAATCAACCCAAATTTGCTTAATCCGAGCTTCAGACTGTCGTAAAATACACTTACACAACACCGAGCGCTGGCCGCTGCTCCGATTCAGAGTACCACAATATATATGTATTGTCCTTGCATCTTTGCATTCTGTTTCTAACCTGTGGGGGAAAAGAGTACACAGTTACCTTGGCAACGTACACTCATGACGTGCACAGACAGTTCACATATTCTCCAGTTATAGCACCATTCCTTTAACCTGTAAACATCATTAATACCCGTGGCACTGAATCAATGTGCACTTAATCTCAGGTCCCTGGGAAGTAAACCGAAGCACTATGAGACGCAAGGTTAAATCATAACAATTGTAGTCTCCGGTGTTAAAATCTGTATCACTTGTTGATATGAGTGGTAACCTCCTTAAGTACCACAGGGGCGTGTCATGCTTAGAAACAGCGTTAGAAAGACATATAGGTATACAGACACTACCCTAGTACTATATAAAAGGAAAGGGATGTAACGACGGGGCCTTAAAAATAGTTTACGTGGTGAAATCTAACTTAGATTGAGGAGGGGGTGGTTCCGTCGTTACATCCCTTTCCTTTTATATAGTACTAGGGTAGGGTCTGTATACCTATATGTCTTTCTAACGCTGTTTCTAAGCGTGACACGCCCCTGTGTTAAGTACCACATAGGCACTGGAGACGATGCACTTATACCCATACAACGCAAACCCTGTACGGCTGGAACAATGGCCATAGCAGACCCTTACCCAATAATACACATACACAATGTACAACTAAATGAGCTCCAAATGGATTCGTTAATAATGATACAGACATGTTAGATGATGTTAGGTTGTATACTTCTTACTCACCATCATCCTTGCTTAACGGACTGATTTTGATACAGTGAAACCCTACTAATCCGGACACCTCAATGGGAACCGGACGGAATTATCCAGTTTCCTCTGCGTGATTACTGATTGTATTGTAATGACTAGAATTTGTAAACTACATGTGTGACTTTACATTTTCTGTATCCCCATACCACATGACCATATCTCTTACAGTGTCACCCACCTCGTCATCAGTGATGTTTGGCGTGTAGCCGGGAAAGTTGGTCAGCTCTGTGTCCACCTCCGCCCGTGTGAAGTCACCTTCTGCCGCAACCCCCTACGTAACAACAGACCCACTGTTTACAACATGTAGAAGACTTTCATATTACGAATTAATTGTAACATTAAACTTTTTGCAGCGATTAGACAAAACTGCACTGTGTGGAGCTGTCACCCATGTTTCTGTTACTTTGTCGGGGAACGAAATGTTGACTTACTGAAATCAACAACTGTAAAAAAGGTACTTTGAAATACACTCAAACCTCTCCAGATTCACTCCGTATTGGATAAAGAACAAAATTCACAGAAGTATTGATGAAATAAAATTGGAGGCAATATGCATGGCATATCAACAATAGACACAAATACTGCGAATCGTAGTTTCAATGGATGCAATATAAAAAAGATACCGATAAATGTTTATATTCTACAACTCGCATCTTGAATGCCTATTGTAAACGCGAATGTTGGACATGTTCAAAAAACGACGGAAGGACGTGTGTTCAACTTAGACATTGTGATGTATGAAAACAAGGAAGTACACATTGCGGGGAAAGTAACGGTACTCGTATTTATTACGGTATCCCTATGATCATTAGCTGGATCGTGTATATAACCATAACAACCCTTGCCATAGTTGTGGGCCCCATTGCCCCGCAGTATAACCCACCTTGGCACCCCTGGTGGTGGGCATGTTGGACTCCGCCTCCGCTGGTACGATATGGCCTTCACCTTTCGACAGCTTGTCAGTTTCACCTTCACGCTGAGTTGAATCCGACGGCGTCTGAGTAACAATAACATAAGTGTATGTTTACAACTTGTCAGCATTCTATACAAAACAGACTTTTTCATTAGATTGTAGATTTACGCACATATTTTTTTTTAAACTAAACATTTCGAAAAAATATCGTTTCGGTAAACATTAGAAGGTCGTTAAGATGAGAAACAAATTCAAAACTCAAATTCTACGAGACAGGTATCCTGAATATTTAAAAACGTGAGCACAGGCTTGGTGAGCTCAGGACTGGGGAAGCTAAGAGTTTTTGAACCGACGCTTCATGCTTGTCTGAGTAAGGTTAGTAAACACCTTGTATGTATTTCTTGTTTGTTATTATCATCAGGCTTGTCAGCAATGAAGCTTTAAACTGGCTTTTTATCTCCGCATTCTCATCCACGGATCAGTACACCACAAAAAGATATCTCCTTTAAATGTGTTAATGGATGCAAGGCTTGCCAGCTCGCTGTGCATTCTAGACGTGCGATAATCTCTTGCTTGGATATTCGAATCCAAGACCATTGTTCCCATTTTGATTTTGTGCACGTCAGTTGTGTTGGTGAACGTCTCCGACCGGTGTCGTTACGACCCGACCGCATTTAAAGGCGTATTAGTTTTAAAATGGTATTACGTTCCACCCAGAGTCGAGCACCAGTACGTCTGATTCACGTCATTCAAAACCTACACAGTACACTCAAACTATGCAGTTAATTGGTAGGGATTAAGACGATATCTCAGTTTAATGGCAGTCACTACTTTCAACATATGGACCTAGACAGCCTATGGAACAAAGTCCTATGTTAGCCATTTTTAGCCTTATACATTGCACATTCGTTTCCATTCGTTGCCACTCGCACCTATCCGTAACCTTCAAGAAGCTTGTCCCGGAATAACACGAGTTGGTCACAAATGATTCGTTTCATTACATACGTGCGTTCACAACTTGTATAATCGACAAAAAAAGCTCAGTAAAATTTGTCAATTCAAATCTAAAAAATAATAAATAAAAATTGTATATTAACTTCGACAGAATTATGTAATCATGGGCAAGAAATGCATTAGGTGCTTGAAAACTTGTATTTGAGATGTATCGTAACAAAATCGCTGCGCACCCTCATCAGAGAGCCAAACAATATCAGCCACTATATATTGCAGCAAATGAATTCACTTATGCCCCCCTAGCGTCAAAGACGTCGTTTGACCAGAGAAGAATTATGCAGTTGCAAACGTCATTTATGTCAACCATGGTGTGATCAGCAGGACACAGAATCGATAATAGACGTTTGGATCAGCTACACATACACCTACTGGTGGACAAGAGCAATTATTTGTTATTTCTGGCTGCAGTATGACGTAACAAGGCTCAGAAATGACCTGCAGACCAACCGTATCGTGAACGTTTTCATACAGACATAGACTTTTGACGTTTCAGTTTTCGGTCAGGTTATTCATCGCCTGAAGGGCAACCTGACTGATTATTGTTTCCGAGACGGAAGGGAAAACTAACTGATCATTGTTCAGACGTCGTCTGATTGCATTGTGTGGCACACGACAACGGATTTCAATTTATCAAACATGTCTCCGATATCTTACAGGGGTATTTCAACAGAAGCTCACAAGTTGACGTATTATCTAATAATGTGGTGATACTTTATTAACTTTGAATACCATACATCCAGACATGTGACTAGCGTGGTTTCCGTTTTTTTCCGTAATGTATAACGAGTTACCTACCCCAAAGAACTCTCCTCTGTCGAGGTCAGAATATGTCTTCGACTGGCTGGACGGGACACTACACTGTGGCATGAGTTGTTCCCCCTCCCCAGTGTGAGGTGACGTCAGCACATCATCCCTCGCCTGGCGCCTTGGTCCCTTGGCACTATGAGTCCCGCTACAAACGTCCTCGCGACGCGTTCTGTCGTCAACCCGACAACTGTTTTCCCTTGAACGTAGAATATCTTTCCTTGAGCTGGTTGTTGTGCGTAACGAGAAGCTGTCGGAATTCCCTGACGGTTGGTTGATGTCACGGGCATTAGCATCCCTAGAAACGGGTCTCCGGTCGTCTTCTGCTACCTTCCTGACATAGGGATTGTAGTAATCGGGGGAAGGTTGTGGAACACTTACAACTGGACGAAAAAGCCGAAAAGCCGACCTAGCACCACTTTCCCCAGAATCTAACGAATATATTGTACTAAGTCGAGCACGCTCGTCATCATCTGACGAGGTACTGCCCCCTCCGGAAAATCTGTGTGTACCCGTCATCGTCATACTGTTCCAGAGGTGCTCGTCTGGCACAGAGTGATTCTTTGTGACGCGCCTGGGAAGATGCAGGGCTGATGGAATATGCTGTGCTGTAATAGTTTCCGTTTTGCAAAGGAGAAACTGCAGCTTTGCCGTGTTGAACAGTCCTGTGAAAAGAATATAGATAACAGACAGACAGGCAGACAGATAGATAGATATATGGTAGTGAGAACTGTTAAACAATCTTCTAATTGTGTTACATTGTTTCAGCTCAGGGGCGGTGGGGTAGCCTAGTGGTGAAATGATTCGCTCCATACGCCAAAAAACCTGGGTTCAATTTCCCACGTGGGTACAATGTGTGAAGCCCATTTCTGGTTTTCCCCGCCGTGATATTGCTAGAATTTTGCGAAAAACGATGTAAAACTAAAGTCACTCACTCACGCACTTGTTTCAGATCAGATTCTGAGGCGTGCATGTTACTATATTTAGTCTCGAATCTCCAAAACTAGCAGGACTAATCCAGTGTACTACAGAGTGAGTGAGTGAGTTTTACGCCGCTTTTAGCAATATTCCAGCAATATCACCACAGGGGACATGAGAAATGGGCTTCACACATTGTACCCATGAGTGAAATCGAACCCGGGTCTTCGGCGTGACGAGCTAACGATTTAACCACTAGGCTACCCCACCGCCCCAGTGTAGTATAGAAGTGTCTGGAAGTTTACAAGGCTATATAAGGTGGGCAAGCACATGCCCCATTTCCCACTACATCAAGGCCTGGATGTCAGGCTACGCACATTGGATCAACTTGACCAGCTATTGCCATCAGCACTAGTACTGCTATCAAAGTTTCTACTTCCCTTAAAACTTACTGATTTAAATATTGTACTGTCAATCTAATGTGTATTGCCATAGTGTAATTAAACTTTACTTTGTATTGATTTGTAAACCTAGTTAATTATCAAACAGAGTTGTATATTTTACACACAAAAATGCTTTTTTGGCATGTTGGTTTTACACTGAATGTGTTTTGCGAATTTCCTCTCGATACTACCAACAATTCCATGGGTGAGCAATATAAGCAATAAGAGTTTCGTTTGATGTAAATATATACTGTGTATGTAGAACAAATACACTATAAGAATATACTACTGGAGATTTTGATAGGCTAGGGTCAGCGAAATATTGCAAAATCAGATAGACTACGAACCTTAATCAAGGTCGGCGAGAGGGGTTGTGAAATGCTTGTCAAACATAACACTTAAGAGTAAATGTTGGCGTTAAAGCAGTGGCTGATAAAGATAGTCTGTCTCTGAAAGCAAATCAATAGTATAATAGTATTCGGTTTTGCAATCCTCACCTTGGTTGAGCACTGCGGTGGCCGTTCCCACGTGAGCGTCCTGGACGTCTCTGGAAGGAAGAATATGACAAACACTGCAACACAAGACGGTCTATGGTATTCACACCTATTCGCCATTCACGTCAAACAGACACATGGAAGAGAATATTTGTTTTCTTAAAATACGTAAATACATGTATATCATTCCCAATATTACGTGGACAGTGTTTCAGCTCTGCTGTTTAACAATATTCACAATGTCGCTTGCAGGACATGGCGAGAGGTAGTTATCCACATGGTGATAGGATGGATCATACCTACTCTAATGACTGCCTGGTGGTAGGATGGATCATACCTACTCTAATGACTGCCTGGTGGTAGGATGGATCGAACCTTCCCCAATGACTGCCTGGTGGTAGGATGGATCATACCTACCCTAATGACTGCTTGGTGGTAGGATGGATCAAACCTACCCGAATGACTGCCTGGTGGTAGGATGGATCATACCTACTGACTGTCTGGCGGTAGAATGGATCATACCTACCCTAATGACTGTCTGGTGGTAGGATGGATCATACCTACCCCAATGACTGTCTGGTGGTAGAATGGATCATACCTACACTAATGACTGTCTGGCGGTAGAATGGATCATACCTACTCTAATGCCTGCCTGGTGGTAGGATGGATCATACCTACCCCAATGACTGCCTGGTGGTAGGATGGATGATACCTACCCCAATGACTGTCTGGTGGTAGGATGGATCATACCTACCCTAATGACTGTTTGGTGGTAGGATGGATCATACCTTCCTTAATGACTGTCTGGTGGTAGGATCGATGATACCTACTCTAATGCCTGCCTGGTGGTAGGATGGATCATACCTACCCTAATGACTGTCTGGTGGTAGGATCGATGATACCTACTCTAATGCCTGCCTGGTGGTAGGATGGATCATACCTACCCCAATGACTGCCTGGTGGTAGGATGGATGATACCTACCCTAATGACTGCCTGGTGGTAGGATGGATCATACCTTCCTTAATGACTGTCTGGTGGTAGGATGGATCATACCTACCCTAATGACTGTCTGGTGGTATCATGATACCTACCCTAATGACTGTCTGGTGGTAGGATGGATCATACCTACCCTAATGACTGCCTGGTGGTAGGATGGATCATACCTACCCTAATGACTGCCTGGTGGTAGGATGGATCATACCTACCCTAATGACTGCCTGGTGGTAGGATGGATGATACCTACCCTAATGACTGCCTGGTGGTAGGATGGATCATACCTACCCTAATGACTGCCTGGTGGTAGGATGGATCATACCTTCCTTAATGACTGCCTGGTGGTAGGATGGATCATACCTATCCCAATGACTGCCTGGTGGTAGGATGGATCATACCTACTCTAATGACTGTTTGGTGGTAGGATGGATCATACCTTCCTTAATGACTGTCTGGTGGTAGGATGGATGATACCTACCCTAATGACTGCCTGGTGGTAGGATGGATCATACCTACCCTAATGACTGCCTGGTGGTAGGATGGATCATACCTACCCCAATGACTGCCTGGTGGTAGGATGGATCATACCTACCCTAATGACTGCCTGGTGGTAGGATGGATCATACCTACCCTAATGACTGCCTGGTGGTAGGATGGATCATACCTACCTTAATGACTGTCTGGTGGTAGGATGGATCATACCTTCCTTAATGACTGTCTGGTGGTAGGATGGATCATACCTACTCTAATGACTGCCTGGTGGTAGGATGGATCATACCTACCCTAATGACTGTTTGGTGGTAGGATGGATCATACCTTCCCTAATGACTGTCTGGTGGTAGGATGGATCATACCTTCCTTAATGACTGCCTGGTGGTAGGATGGATCATACCTACCCTAATGACTGCCTGGTGGTAGGATGGATCATACCTACCCTAATGACTGCCTGGTGGTAGGATGGATCATACCTACCCCAATGACTGCCTGGTGGTAGGATGGATCATACCTACCCTAATGACTGCCTGGTGGTAGGATGGATCATACCTACTCTAATGACTGTTTGGTGGTAGGATGGATCATACCTACCCTAATGACTGTCTGGTGGTAGGATGGATCATACCTACCCTAATGACTGCCTGGTGGTAGGATGGATCATACCTACCCTAATGACTGCCTGGTGGTAGGATGGATCATACCTACCCCAATGACTGCCTGGTGGTAGGATGGATCATACCTACCCTAATGACTGTCTGGTGGTAGGATGGATCATACCTACTCTTAATGACTGCCTGGTGGTAGGATGGATCATACCTTCCCTAATGACTGCCTGGTGGTAGGATGGATCATACCTACCCTAATGACTGTTTGGTGGTAGGATGGATCATACCTACCCTAATGACTGTTTGGTGGTAGGATGGATCATACCTACCCTAATGACTGTTTGGTGGTAGGATGGATCATACCTACCCTAATGACTGTTTGGTGGTAGGATGGATCATACCTACCCTAATGACTGCCTGGTGGTAGGATGGATCATACCTACCCTAATGACTGTCTGGTGGTAGTATGGATCACACCTACTCTAATGACTGTCTGGTGGTAGGATGGATCATACCTACCCTAATGACTGTTTGGTGGTAGGATGGATCATACCTTCCTTAATGACTGCCTGGTGGTAGGATGGATCATACCTACCCCAATGACTGCCTGGTGGTAGGATGGATCATACCTACTCTAATGACTGTTTGGTGGTAGGATGGATCATACCTACTCTAATGACTGCCTGGTGGTAGGATGGATCATACCTACTCTAATGCCTGCCTGGTGGTAGGATGGATCATACCTTCCTTAATGACTGCCTGGTGGTAGGATGGATGATACCTACCCTAATGACTGTTTGGTGGTAGGATGGATCATACCTTCCTTAATGACTGCCTGGTGGTAGGATGGATCATACCTACCCCAATGACTGTCTGGTGGTAGGATGGATCATACCTTCCTTAATGACTGTCTAGTGGTAGGATGGATCATACCTACCCTAATGACTGTCTGGTGGTAGGATGGATCATACCTACTCTAATGCCTGGTTGGTGGTAGGATGGATCATACCTTCCTTAATGACTGCCTGGTGGTAGGATGGATGATACCTACCCTAATGACTGTCTGGTGGTAGGATGGATCATACCTACCCTAATGACTGTCTGGTGGTAGGATGGATCATACCTACCCTAATGACTGTTTGGTGGTAGGATGGATCATACCTACTCTAATGACTGCCTGGTGGTAGGATGGATCATACCTTCCTTAATGACTGCCTGGTGGTAGGATGGATGATACCTACCCTAATGACTGCCTGGTGGTAGGATGGATCATACCTACCTAATGACTGTCTGGTGGTAGGATGGATCATACCTTCCTTAATGACTGCCTGGTGGTAGGATGGATCATACCTTCCTTAATGACTGCCTGGTGGTAGGATGGATCATACCTACCCTAATGACTGTCTGGTGGTAGGATGGATCATACCTTCCTTAATGACTGCCTGGTGGTAGGATGGATCATACCTACCCTAATGACTGTCTGGTGGTAGGATGGATCATACCTACTCTAATGCCTGCCTGGTGGTAGGATGGACCATACCTACCCCAATGACTGACTGGTGGTAGGATGGATCATACCTACTCTAATGACTGTCTGGTGGTAGGATGGATCATACCTACCCTAATGACTGTCTGGTGGTAGGATGGATCATACCTTCCTTAATGACTGTCTGGTGGTAGGATGGATCATACCTACCCTAATGACTGTCTGGTGGTAGGATGGATGGATCATACCTACCCACTAATGACTGTCTGGTGGTAGGATGGATCATACCTTCCTTAATGACTGTCTGGTGGTAGGATGGATCATACCTACCCCAATGACTGCCTGGTGGTAGGATGGATCATACCTACCTCTAATGACTGCCTGGTGGTAGGATGGATCATACCTACTCTAATGACTGCCTGGCGGTAAGATGGATCATGCCTACCCCAATGACTGTTTGGTGGTAGGATGGATAATACCTACCCTAATGACTGTCTGGTGGTAGGATGGATCATACCTTCCTTAATGACTGTCTGGTGGTAGGATGGATCATACCTACCTTAATGACTGTCTGGTGGTAGGATGGATCATACCTACCCTAATGACTGTCTGGTGGTAGGATGGATCATACCTACCCTAATGACTGTCTGGTGGTAGGATGGATCATACCTACCCTAATGACTGTCTGGTGGTAGGATGGATGATACCTACCCTAATGACTGCCTGGTGGTAGGATGGATCATACCTACTCTAATGACTGCCTGGTGGTAGGATGGATCATACCTTCCTTAATGACTGCCTGGTGGTAGGATGGATCATACCTACCTCTAATGACTGCCTGGTGGTAGGATGGATCATACCTTCCTTAATGACTGTCTGGTGGTAGGATGGATCATACCTACTCTAATGACTGCCTGGTGGTAGGATGGATCATACCTTCCTAATGACTGCCTGGTGGTAGGATGGATCATACCTTCCTAATGACTGCCTGGTGGTAGGATGGATCATACCTTCCCTAATGACTGCCTGGTGGTAGGATGGATCATACCTACTCTAATGACTGTCTGGTGGTAGGATGGATCATACCTTCCTTAATGACTGTCTGGTGGTAGGATGGATCATACCTACCCTAATGACTGTCTGGTGGTAGGATGGATCATACCTACCCCAATGACTGTCTGGTGGTAGGATGGATCATACCTACCCTAATGACTGTCTGGTGGTAGGATGGATCATACCTACCCTAATGACTGTCTGGTGGTAGGATGGATCATACCTACTCTAATGACTGTCTGGTGGTAGGATGGATCATACCTTCCTTAATGACTGCCTGGTGGTAGGATGGATCATACCTACCCTAATGACTGTCTGGTGGTAGGATGGATCATACCTACTCTAATGACTGTCTGGTGGTAGGATGGATCATACCTACCCTAATGACTGTCTGGTGGTAGGATGGATCATACCTACCCT